GACGACGCAGACGTCATGCGAAGTCAAGAGGACGGCGCCCTTGTCAACGTGACATGGTAAAGACGCTTGGCGTCAGGTCGTCGACGTCTTTGTCGACATGACAAAACTTGACGTCACGACGACGTGCAGACTACTTCACGACGTCATCGTCGACGACGACAACGACGTTACAGAACATCAGGACTTCGTCGTGACGGCGCGTCTACGTTGATGTTGACAAAGGCGACGACGTTACACGACGTCAAGGTTTCGTCGTGACATCGTTGTGACGTCACGTTGATGTCGACCTAGATGATGACGTTACGCGACATTAAAACGACGTTAACGCTGACGTAATGGGACGATAGGACGACATTAACGTGACGTCATAGCGACATTTGACGTTGCGTGGGGCGTCAACGACCACGTCGACGTCCTCCTCGACGCGGCGCGACGTTACTACCGCGTTACAGGGGTGACTTGATGTCGCATAACAGCGCCGTCCTTGACGTGACGCGGCGTGCGGCACGACAGCGAACGACGACGACGACGTCACGACAAAAATCCAAGCGAACCAAGCCACTTCGATCGCAGCGTCACCACTCCAACCTTCCACATTCTGAGCTTCAACTGAAAACATCCGTAAAGCCTGTAGCTCGCCGCACTCAATCATTTCTAGTTCGGTGTACCGTGGGGCTCGCTTTCGCAATATTTTGAGAAAGGAAAACACAGCCTAATAGGCCGAATTGCGTATGACGACGACATGAAGTGTATCGAGGTCGAAGTGAAGGCCAGCACATGTTTCAAGGACTTCTGACACCACAATTGCTTCAATGAACATCTCTGTGACCAAGCGAACTGTCCGTTACAGATATAAACTGTCGCAGATCAAACTGATCGACAAGCGTAAGAGAGGAAATAAAAATTTAATCGGCGAACATGTGCCTAGAAACAAAAGGAAGGATGAGCATTGACGGCGGAAGCAGGGCGACGATGCGTCGGCGTGACAGCTGGCTGTGAGTCGGCAAGGCCGCGCTCTTTATCTATGACACTTGATATATGAAACATTCGACCTACAATGTACTTTAGTGAGCTAGGGTGAGAGCATACCTCGGCAAACCTCACTCATGAGGGCCCTCACTCACCCTCACTCACCCTCATCTTCACAGGTGAGGTGAGGGTGAGTGAGTTTCTGAACCAGGAAAATTCATGAGTGTGAGGGTGAGTGAGGGCCGTGAGGGTGAGTGAGGGCCGTGAGGGCCGTGAGGGCTGTGAGGGCGGTGAGGGCCGTGAGGGCCGTGAGGGCCGTGAGGGCCGTGAGGGCCGTGAGGGCGGTGAGGGCCGTGAGGGCGGTGAGGGCCGTGAGGGCCGTGAGGGCCGTGAGGGCCGTGAGGGCCGTGAGGGCCGTTAGGGCCGTGAGGGCCATGCAACTCGGAGCAATTCGAATGCGTTTGAAGCGGCTGCATCCAATCAGGGACGCAAAATTTTCACGTGATACCTCGTGCCGGTGATGATGACACCGAAAGACTTGGTTCTGGTTTGAAATCGATCGTTTTTTTTTGGAAATAAACTATTTCAGAAAGGTGCATTAGTATTCTTAACGAGATTTAAATGCATGAAAACACGTTTATAACGCGTAATTGTGTCTAAATAGTGCAAGAAAAATAAAATTTTATGATGACGATGGCAAATTGCAGCAATTCGTTGCTGCGTGTGATCGCGGGCGGCCTGTGTTGCTGGTGTTGCGACGTAAAGTTTCTGGGCGAAATTGCCCCATCTGAAGCTGGCCTGAGTGGCGTGAGGGCCATCAGTGCGTGAGGGGCGTGAGGGGTGTGAGGGCCGCAAGGGCGGTGAGGCGCGTGAGGGCGGTGAGTGGCGTGAGGGCGGTGAGTGGCGTGAGGGCCGTGAGGGCGGTGAGGGCGGTGAGTGGCGTGAGGGCTATGAGTGTGTGAGGGCCGTGAGGGCGGTGAGGGCCGTGAGGGCCGTGAGGGCGGTGAGGGCGGTGAGGGCCGTGAGGGCGGTGAGGGCCGTGAGGGCGGTGAGTGGCGTGAGGGCCATGAGTGAGTGAGGGGCGTGAGGGCCGTGAGGGCGGTGAGGGCCGTGAGGGCCGTGAGGGGCGTGAGGGCCGTGAGGGCGGTGAGTGCGTGAGGGCCGTGAGGTTCAGTGAGGGTGAGTGAAGGGCTGAAGGTGAGTGTAACTGTGAGGGTGAGGGTGAGTGAGGGGCTGAAGGTGAGTGTAGCTGTGAGGGTGAGGGTGAGTGAGGGGCTTAGGTAAGTGTGGCTGTGAGGGTAAGGGTGAGTGAGGGCGAGCTAAAATGCCGACCTCTGGGTGAGAGTGATTAAGCAGGGTCATTCTTTCTTCCTTATCTTTTATACTGGGGCTTGGGGTCTTACTTAAATCTGAAAAATCACTAGAATTGTCCCTCAGTGTGAGGATTAGATGGAAGGTACGAACCACACACACATATTGCCAGCCTGAAAATTAAAGTTAGCGGCCTCGAATCGCTCATGTTACAGTAAAAATAATTACTCTTTTATTACAATGCACGTCAACGGCAAAATTGAAAAGAGATCCCGACGCTGCTTTGAAGTTATGTTCTAAACGGATGTTTTTCTCGCTGTATTTTTGGCATATCTCCACGCGTGTGGTGATTTTCGTCATACAGTATCTCGTATCACCCGGAAACGCCATTCGTTATAAACATTATCAGATTTCTTAGGCCTGCCACGTTCCAAATAAATACAAAATCGAAATCGTGTCACTGTGCAATGATTCAAGCTTTTGCAGACGGCATACTTCAGTCATTTCGTGTGCGTTCGTCATGCGTTCGTCGTCTGCGACAGGCATTTCAAGGCGTCTCGAGAAGCAGAAGTTGCCGTCGAAAATATTTCAGAAACAGCCGATTCTCAGCTTACGCTTGTCGTGGTAAGTGTGGAATCTAGCCTTCCTGTACCTATCATGTTCAGACGTTTTAATTCCACGCCCGAGTTTTGACCGATTGTTCTTTCGGAGCGAAATCCACTCCCATATATCCGACTATTGCAACGCCCCTAGCAACGATTTGTTTGGAGCTGTAACGTCACACATACGGGGTCAATTCCTGTATACTCAGAAGGAGTACTGAAGGGAGCGCCACTGGACCGGTTGGCGAATAGACAAAGATCGGCGTTCGACCCTTCCGAAGTCACGTGGGCACTGTCAGATTGGGCAGGGAGGTCTTGCAGTTATACCGCCTCCAGTACGCTCGCAGCCAAAGCGCGGCGAAAGGCAACGCCGCGCGATGTACGCCAGCTCTCAAAAATGGACGCATTTCTCATCACGTCAGTGACGGGGAGAAAATGCCTTCGAACAGTGAGCATGAGAGAAGGATAGCTAGCTTTACGTCCACCCACTGATTCCAACCACAACCCGATGTTATGACGTACACCCGCGCCCTCCTGTCCTCCTCTCCCTTACTTTATGCCCGCGTAGTCTAACTAGAGACAGACATTCGACAACGCTAGTACACCTGTCAAACACTCCTTGTTAGAAACTTTCCTACACCTGGAAATCACCCGTCGGCGACAAAAGCACTTGCTCGTGAAGCAGCGCGGTCGCTAACGAGCTGCTAGGAGTGGCGTTTGCTATGGTCAGGTATAAGTTAAGAATAGGCCAGAAGCTCAACCAACGCCCTGGTCACCGCCCGTCCCTGTTCCTCCGCGATGCGCAAATAGTCCGCTACCGAAGCCATTGCGTATTGATCGAGGACGCGGCCATTTCGCAAATGTCGCGCTCACGTCACATAGCTAGAGATCCGTGATTTTGTTTTGTACCAAAAAATCTTGAAAGGTAACCCCTCGGCCAGTTTTTTTAGGAATCAGGCAAAAGAAAAAAAAAGTTTAACCGCTTTTTTTAATGAGTTAAAAGAACCCCAAGCTTTGAGGAAAGGAATTTTTATTTTTTCATTTAACTTGATTTAATTACTCTCAGGGCCCCAAGGCATTATAGAGGGGAGCAGGTTAGTTATCAAAAATACAAGTATACGTTGCTAACCATGACAAAATACATTACTATCAATGAGCAAACCAAGAAATACGCCTATACAAAAAAAAAAAAAAAAAAAAAAAAGAAAAACTACTTTTGCTGAGCACGAAAACAGCCCCCTGAGCTGTCCATGAATCCGCTTGTACTTTGCAGGAAGCACGTCCTATTTATCGGTTTCCTAGAACTCTAATCAGGGTTGGGATGTTTTCCGCAACGCTATGTCATTCTTACACCAAAAATATGCCCCAAAACACGAACAATTTTTGAAAAAAAAAAAAAAAAAAACGCGAACCAAAAAAAGAAAATATAAACATTTCCGAATTTGAATAAAAATGAACCCCGAAAACACGGAACGCTGCAGATAACTCGTCGTGACTGCTACCTTGGTGAGCGGGCAACTGAGTGAGACTCGCATGCATGTTGTGGAGCTCATTTGATGAATTCTTGTTTGCGACCAGAGTCGTTTGATCTGGCAGGCCCTTACGTATCGAACGACGAAAATAATCCCTGGAGAAGGGGAACAAGAAGGACAAAGGACAAACACAAATCTCCAAACACAGCTAGGTGACTGGTGCGCGGCCGAAAAAATCCGCCTGGTCCGGGTATCGAACCTGGGATCTCTCCATTACAAGTGGAGCGCTCTACCAACCGAGCTAACCAGGGGTTAGACGTCAGTAGAGCAAACGGGTTTTATCAGCTGCCACCAGTCTAACACCAACAGGGGTGAAGCTTGTAATTTAAGGTTATGATTATAAAGCAATTAAATGCAAAGATGCAAGCGATCTGGACAAGAATTACGAAAATAATCTCTGGAGAAGGGGAACAAGAAGGACAAAGGACAAACACAAATCTCCAAACACAGCTAGGTGACTGGTGCGCGGCCGAAAAAAACCGCCTGGTCCAGGTGTCCAGCTGGCTTGCAGTTTTGCATTTAATTGCATTATAATCATCCCTTCCGTGTGACGTTTTCCGCGGAAATGCACCGAGGGGCTCCTTGCCTGCTCTATGCTGTACTCGTAGTTTCCATTGGGCTCGAGCAGTGCGGTGGGCTTGGCGCCGGCGTCCAGGTTGTCCACGTGGTGGAAGCCCAGGTCCGCCATGTACCGATCCAGGGGCACCAGGCGCTTGATCTTCCACGTGATGAACAGGCTGAAGTCTGACAATTATTCGTATCTTTATAAGCCGCAGTACGGTGCCTGGAACCCGTCTCCGACTCGTGTTTACCCTGTCCGAAAACCCGTCCCTCCATTTGCGCCTGATGACGTCCTCACAATGGCATGCTGTCGTCTGCCGCGATCCTGGCGGTGTCACAACAGCAGTGGTGGATGTAGCAGACACCCGTTCTGCTGCAAGTCCTTCCTCTTAGCAGTCGACGGAAGCTTAAGCAGGAAGATGTCGGGACGACAGCGACACTTGAGTTCACTGATGCTTTTCGCCAGCATTTCTACGGGCAACCGTCAGAATCGCCACAACTGACAGCATGACACTCTGGCCTTTTGTGACGTCATTTGTTGCCATCCATTTCGATGCCTGGGAGGGATAGGAGTCTGAACATACCAGTTGGAGTCGAGTTCCAGGCGGTATAACCTTAGCAAAAATAAGTCAAAAGAGCGTTTACAGATAAGTACGCGTTCGCCCGTACCAGGTGTGGAACCATGCTCGTGAGCAAAAACCAGAGTTGCGTGAAGCATATGGGCATGCGCCGTAGAATGTTATGATCTAACACGGAGAGCGTTTCCAACCTTGCAAAACGTTTGCAATATAAGGTGCAACCCCACCTTTGGTTAGTGCGATTCTGATTCAACAAATGGCGATGGGATCGCCTTCCAGACCTGTACATGAATGCCAAAAATCGTGTCTGATGGCCCTTCGATACACTGGGGTGTTTTTCTTTGTCCTGAAATTGACGTCCCTGGCCGTTCACCTGTTTCTCGATGCGCGAGCTTTCTGTGGAACGCGGCCCGGCTGCAACAGTTCTCGTGCAAAGAGAGCAGGTGGAGGAGGAGAAGTAAATTTGTATTGATTGCAAAAGAAATTTGTGGTCTTGGTGGGTCCCTTTGTCTAGGGCGCCACTGCTCTCTGCCGCAGCCTTCGCCCTGTATACCAGCATATGCTGGTCGTCGGGGGAGGGCCTGAGCACCGCAGCTCCCCCAGGTCTCGTAGGAAGGGGAAGGGGAGAGAGAGGGGTTGCAGAGACACGGCCAAGTGACGTGATAAAGGGACGGGTGCTCGCCGCAGTGTGGACAAGTGTTGATACGACACACCAGCGATGACTCCCATTAACCCTTCAACGTCACAGCTGAGTCACGCGCAGGGTGTAAGGTAGACAGGTGGGGAAACGAGAGCCAAATGAGCGACCGGATTGTGTACCCCTCGGTTTTCTCTTTTTCTGTGGCGCCATCTACGTGGAGCACCGCGAACTCTCACTCCGGGCGTGCTCTTGGTTCATTTTGCGCACTCTCCCAGAGTTTCATGCAAATCCGATTCCGATTTTTTTCTTCTCGCCTCAGCGCCATCTGTCGCAAATCGGGGGTACCCGAGAGCAGACGAGTACACAATCCGGTCACGGCGCTGCGGTAGGCTTCTATGGGCCGTTTCCCCACCTGTCTATCTTACACCCTGGTCACGCGGCACCCGGCAGCGAAGAACGGTTTCCGACGTGCGCCACGTATGATTTCGGTCCGGCGGACGCGGATTGGGTGCGGGGGTTGCGTCGGTGCTCTGCTGAGACTCGTAAGCACACGGGTCTCGGTCGGGTGTGGCGCATCACTCGTGCCCGGCCTCTGCGCCGTGCTTTTTCGTCCCTTGTGGCGCGGGGATTCCGGTGCTTGGGCTTCGTGTCCGGTGACGTAGTCTCCACTCTCACGTGTCCCGATGCTCCTTCGTCTTGTTTGTTCTTCTGTCGTTGTGTTTCAATTTAATTCTCTTGCCCTGGGTGGCTGGCTAGCAGACGCTCACGCGTACGGGCTCCCGCTTATCTGCCTATAGCCTTGCAAGCCACCCAGAGTACCTCTAGTTCCGCTAATAAAGATGAATGAATGAATAAATGAATAAAAGTCCACATGAAGTCCCGTACACGCAGTCACTTTCTCTTGTTGCGGAGGCTTGCATTTTATTTCCTACCGTTTTTATTATGCTGAGTTGTTAAATTAAACACAGGTCCCACTCTGCAGAATATTTTGGACGTGCAAAATAAAATTAAGGTTCAACTAAATAGCATCCAAATCAGTCAGATTGCACAAGGTGTCAACCTAGACGAGCTGAAGACCCGATTTTAATTCTTAGAAACTCAGGTAGCAACTCCCTAAAAATTTAGAAACAACCGTGACAGAGTACGAAAAGAACTGCGAAAACAATGTCACGCAGTCCCTCGTGTCAAAAATGGAGGACCTTGAGAATCGCAGTAGGCGGTGCAATTTTTTTTTTTATAGTGCAAAAAACGTAACTTCTCGCGAATCATAGTCAGTATTAGAATCACTTGTTCAGGAACTGTGCGAAACGAGGCTTGGCCTAACACCGACCACAATGGAAAGAGCTCATAGGATAGGGCGATTCCGGCCAGAGTGAAATCGACCCCTGATTCCTATCTTTGCATCATTTAAAGAGAAACAGACCGCCCTAGGGAACGCCAAGTAATTGAAAGGGTCCGGTATCAGCAGATCTGAAGATTTGTCTGAAGCGATACGCAACGAAAGACGACATTTGTGAGATTTTGCCAAGAGTCATAGGAATCACGGTACGCGGGTTCACCTGAGGAATGAAGCTCTTATGTTAATGACATAAAGTATATTTATGAGGACGACAACATCCAAGTAGTGCATTTTAAAGGACACATGCAAAGGAAAAAAAAACTTTTTTTAACATCCGGGTTGGGAGAAGGAAGTCATAAAACGAATTTACAACGAAATAGATATGAACATTCTAGAGCTATATTTACGGCGCCATACGAATTTGTAGTTGTCGCCCGCGGGTGATGCGGAAAAGTGGTCTCTATTTGTCACGTGGTGCTTGCGCTCTTTCGGAAGCTTTCTACGGCCTCTAAAAGTAACTTATTCATCTTTGTTTGAAGTATAACAAAAAACTAAGATTAATAAGTAACTTTTAGGGCCCAAAGGAAACTTCTCAAAAAGCGCAAGCAGACGTGATAGACCTGTGCGTGGAAAAACGCGTTCAAGCGGCGTCCCACAACGCTTAGCGTGCGGCGGCGGCGTGACTTTGCGGCGGCGGCGACGGAGCGCGGCGGCGCACAGGCCTACCGCGTGACCAGCGGTGGTTCCCGCGGGCGCCAACTACCAATTTGTTTTGCGCCGTAAATATAGCTCTAATTTTTTATCTTCGTTGTAAATTCGTTTTATAATATTCTTTTTCCATCTAACCTGTTTAAAAAAAGATATTTCTTTGCATGTGTTTTTAAGTGACCATTCTAGAACTCGGCCACCACCATCACTTTTCTTGTAATAAATTGTCGTAGCATTAAAGTAATACTGATGATTTTTCTAGCCTAATAGATACGATTAAACGATCGGTTGTTATCGGCACAAAATCATGGCTAGCTGAAGAGGTAACAGGTTGTGGGGTGTTTCCTGATCACTTTATATGCTACAAGAAAGATAGAAATAGTCATGGCGGAGGTGTGCTTATCCTCGTTGACCAAAGCATTTCTTCTGTAAAAGTGAAGTTGATGACTGCTCGTGCGAAGCGATATGGTGTCAATTGAGATTGAGAAAGAACATACCCTCTCAGTGCGTTCTTTTTAGCGGCCAACCGCAAGTTCTGGTAATGCATTATAAAAATTTACAGAGATGGCCGAAACAATTAAATTTGATGGTATGATTAAGGAAGGCGATTTTGATTCGCCCTTTCTAAATTGGCACCAGAAAAAAGTATTTTCAGGGGCAAACCATGGACTAACTGCAGTAATGGCAAATATTGGGAATTTGTTCGCGCTGACTCAAACTGTGTTAGAACCCTCTGGAGGGGGCATGTTCTAGACTTTTTCCTTACAAATGAGCCAGACCTGGTAAAGTCTACTTCAGTAATACCGGGAATTATTGATTACAGTGCTGTCCTTTGTGGAATGAATTTGGAGCATGTAAATATGTGTCATAGTGGAAATCGACGTATATGAATTATATTAAAAAAAAAACTAACATTTTTGAAATCAATGTTGCACTGAATGCATAATTTGTTCTTTTTGAAAGACTTGCAGAACCCGATCCCTTAACTGAACTCTGAGTGTTTTTTTTAAGATAACGTTTTTGAATATCAAGATCGTTTTGTCCTTTCGTGTATTTTGATTAAAAGACGTAATGAAAGTAAGCCATGGTTTACAAAACAACTACGAAAGTTGATACAAAAAACAAACAGTGAATCTATAGCGTTTCCTAAAACAATTTGTCAGCTGAAAATATTAGAAACTGAAATCAGTGAGCAAAACATCGAGATAATCATTCGAGTCTAAAATCAAACAAGGCCCTAAAGAACTTGGGAAATCCGTAAAAAGAAATAAACAAAAAATGTGCATATTCTGTTGCAGGTGCGGTGGGCAAGGCAGGAGGCAAAGCGATTAGCGTGAAAAGTTTTATTCGGCCAGCATGGCCGTCCCAAGAACACGAAGCTTCGCTCTCCCAGCGCTTTTAGAGCTGATTAGCAGTCGTCGCGATAGTGGCGTCATAGCGCGCTTAGGGTGACACCACATTTCATCTCACTTATTTTGATTACACAATAGTTACGGTTTGTACCAGTACGACTACTGCTCCGAGCTTCTGGCTGTTGAGGTGATGTGGAGGCCTGATGCGGAGACTGCGATGGGGGGCTTGGTTGCTGACTGGGACCCGGTTGATCCGGAGGAGCATCTTCCAGTGGCCCTGGCTGCGGTGCTGCAGGACTAATCCATCGCTGCCAGGGGAGGCCTTGTAGCCGATTCCTCCGGCACAGGGTCTGCAATTGAACTTGGCGCCTAACAAGGAAACGCGCTAGGCGCAGTTTCGGCGGATTCGAAAGAGCACGGCCGCAATTTGTCTGCATTCACAAACCTGTGTCCTTGTCTCACCCGAACGATGTAGGTTGCGCCACTGCACCGCTCTTTGACGACTCTAAGCAACCAATTTGCCTCACCAGGACAAAGACCTTGCACCTGAACGAGGTCGTCTACTT